ATGGTGGAAAAGAGGCAGAAAAAACTCAGCCAGTCAAGTGCAATAAGAATTTTTGGAATTATTATAATAGTAAAATACTAGAAATAACACAAATCTCCCAACAACAGGAATTGGCTAATTAAATGACGTATTAGCACCACAAGGAATAGCTATCTGGATTGTAACAACATGGAAAAGCATTTATGGAATAATGTTGTGCACAAGCCCACAAACATACGCTATGATTGTGTTGAAGTAAAACATGAATACAGGTCAGAAGTAAACATAAAGAATGGAAATAAATCTGTTATGATGGCAGAAATATTGGTGAAAAATATAAACACATTCAAAAGGTAAAATTTATTCAAACATTAAAAATAACTGATTTATATTTTTATACAGAAAGGTATTCATGAAATTTTAACTGACAATAGAGATTATAAAACAGCATATAAAATCCTGGTGGTGTTAAAAATAATATCAATGTGATTATATAGACAAGAAATTGGAAAAGAATGAATACCAACAGTTAACTTCAATTAACTCTGAATTATAGCTAACTTTTACATTTTAAAGTTTTCTGTATTGTCTGCTGTTTTTACTTTTATAATTAGAATTTGAAATATAGTAATTTCGCCCTAGCTGGTTTGGCTCAGTGGATAGAGCGGTAGCCTGTGGACTGAAGGGTCCCGGGTTCGATTCCCGTCAAGGGCACATGCCTGGGTTGAGGGCTTCATTCCCAGTAGGGGGCGTGCAGGACACAACCGATCAATGATTCTCTCTCCTCATTGATGTTTCTCTCTCTCCCTTTTCTTTCCTCTCTGAAATCAATAAAAATATATTTAGAAAAAGAAATATAGTAATTTCTATGAAAGAAAACAAGATCATAATGCAGCAGACATTAGACAAATGCCTCCTAGAGCAGGTGTGGCTAGTATGTGGCCCAGTTGCTGTGGTAGATAGGCTTATTTCTAACTATGGATGCTCCTGGACTTACAGTCGAGTTACTTTCTGATAAACCCCGCATAAGTTGAAAATGCATTTAATCCTGCCCTGACTGGTTTGGCTCAGTGGATAGAGCGTTGACCTGCGGACTGAGGGGTCCCAGGTTCAATTCCGGTCAAGGGCATGTACCTTGGTTGGGGGCACATTCCCAGTAGGGGATGTGCAGGAGGCAGCTGATCGATGTTTCTCTCTCATCGATGTTTCTGACTCTCTATCCCTCTCCCTTCCTCTCTGTAAAAAATCAATAAAAGATATTTTTTAAAAAAGAAAATGCATTTAATCCATCTCACCTACTGAACATCAGAGCTTAGCCTAGACTACCTTAAACACGCTCACAACACACCTTAGCCTACAGGTGGGCAGTTATCTTGAGTTTTATTTCAAGAGCCAATGCCTTCTCGGAAGCTGGAGCCACCGATGGCCGTTTTGTAGACATCGCGGGATGTGAAAACACAAAACATAATGTCCCAAACCACTGGCAACCCAGAGCACTGTAGGGAAAGGGTTGTTTACTCTAGTGGTGGCGTGGCTGACGGGAAGCCATGACTCACTGCCGCTGTCCAGCACCACGAGAGAATCGTGCTGAATATCTAGCCCAGGAAAAGATGAACATTCAAAGTAAGGTTTCTACTGAATGCGTACAGCGTTCACACCACCGTAAAGCTGAGCCGTCGTAAGTCGGAATGGCTGTTTCCCACCGCCCCTCTGATCAGATTACACGCCCAGCCCAGATGACATGTGAGACTTTTCAATTCCTCTCCTTAGGCGGAGAATGTGTTCCCACGCCATCGACTTGGGGCTTGGCAATGTGACTTGTGGGCCAACGGAGTGTGAGCAGCTATGAAGCTGCTATGTCTTAGTTGAGGCTTTATGCGTGTTTGTGTGGTGATGCTTGGCTTCTGCTTGTGCCATTCCTGTGAGGAGAGAGTGCCCCGGAAATGCTGCTGCTTCAGCCTTGGCCCTAGAATGAGAGACACACAAGTCCAACTGACCCCAGCTGGCCCAGTAGAAGCACAGTTGACCCACAGACCTGTGAGCAAGAAATCAGTGTTTGCTTTTATAAATGACTGTGTTTCGGGGTTCTTTGTTACACAGCATCGCCACGGCAAAAAGCTGACCAACATTCCGGATCCTGCATTTTTCCACATCCCCCTTGTTCCTTCTTTGGGAAAATAATTTTAGATGGGTGAGGGTGGCATCAGGGAGAACAACCTTCCTCGTTTGCCCAAATGATTGAGGGGTTTGCTGGGACATGGGGCTTCCAGGTTTATGGAGATATCATTTACTTTCCATACACGTCACTCATTTAAAATGTACAATTCAAAGTGTTTTAGTATATTCATAGAGTTGAACAGCAATCACTACAATCTGTCCTTCCTAAAAGAAACACCATACCTATTAGCAGTCACTCCCATTGTCCCCACCCCCCTCGCATAGCAACCGCTAATCTAGTTTCTGACTATAAATTTACATATTCTGGACATCTCAGATAAACGGAATCAAAATTTGGCCTTTTATGACTGGCTTCTTAGATTCATCCTTATTGTAACAGGTATAAGTACTTCATTTATTTTCTTTTGTTTATTTCCAATCCTCACCTGAGGATATACTTTAGAGAGAGAGAGAGAGAGAGAGAGAGAGAGACTGAGAGATAGAAAATGAAGGTAAGGGAACGGAAGGGAAGGGAAGGGAAGGGAAGGGAAGGGAAGGGAAGGGAAGGGAAGGGAAGGGAAGGGAAGGGAAACATCGACTGTTTGCCTTCCGTATGAGCCCCAACTGGGGATCCGATCCAAAACCCAGGTAGGTGCCCTCACCAGGAATCAAACCTACAATCTTTTGGTGCATAGGACGGCACTCCAGCCAACTGAGTGACCCACCCTGGCCTTCATTTCTTTTTATTGCCAGACAATATTCAGTTGTTGTGTATGCCACTTTTTATTTATTCACTCATCGGTGATGGACATGTGGGTTGTTTCTACCTTTTGGCTACTGGGAATAGTGCTGCTATGAACATTTCTGTATAAGTCTTTGTTTGGACATCTGTTTTCCATTATTTTGGGTAAATGCCTCAGAGTGGAATTGCCGAGTGATACCGTAATTCTGTGTTGAACTGGTTGAGGAGCTGCCAAACTGTTTTCTGCAGCTGCCGCACTGTGCATTCCCACCAGCAGTGCAAGAGAGATCCAATTTCTCCACATCCTTGCCAACACTTGTTATTGTCCATCTTTTCTATTACAGCCTCCTAGCGGGTGTCCCATGGTATCTCATAGTGGTTTTGATTTACATTTTCCTAATGACTAATGATGTTGAACATCTTTTCATGTGCTCTTTCACGATCTGTAGATCTTCTTTGGAAAAACACCTATGCAATCTTTTAAAAATCTTTTTATTTAAAAAAAATTTTTTTTAAGAGAGAGAGGGACAGGGATAGAGAGACAGAAACATCGATGAGAGAGAAACATAAGAGATCGGCTGCCTCCTGCACATTCCCTACTGGGGATCAAGCCCGAAACCCAGGAATGTGCCCTGATCAGGAATCGAACCAGTGACCTCTTGGTTCATGGGTCGAAGCTCAACCACTGAGCCACACTGGACACACACACCTATTCAATTTTGCTCGTTTTAGAATTATGTTATTAATCTTTGTATTGTTGATTTGTAAGAGTTCATCATATATTCTAGACTCTTACTACATATATGATTTGTAAATAAATATTTTCTCCCCTCCTGTGGGTTGTCTCTTTCCTCTCTTGAAGGTGTCAGTTGCAGCACAAAAGTTTTATATATTTTTTAAACATATTTTGTTGATTTTTCACAGAGAGAAAGGGAGAGGGATAGAGAATTAGAAACATCGATAGAGAGAAACATCGATCTGTGCCTGAAACCAAGGTACATGCCCTTAGCCGGAATCGAACCTGGGACCTTTCAGTCCGCAGGCCGACGCTTTATCCACTGAGCCATGCAGCACAAAAGTTTTATATTTTGAATATAATCCAATTCATTTAGTTTTCTTGATCTTTGCTTTTTGCTGCTGCTGTTGTTGTTAATCCTCACTGGAGGACATTTTTCCATTGGTTTTTAGTGAGAGTGGAAGGGATGGGGATGGGGAGAGACAGAGAGAGAGAAACACTGATGTGAGAGAGACACATTGATTAGTTGCCTCCAGAATGTGCCCCACCAGATTGAGCCAGCAACAAAGGTACATGCCCTTGCCCGGAATCGAACCCAAGACCCTTCAGCCTGCAGGCGAAGCTCTATCCATTGAGCCAAACCAGCTGGGACAGTCGTGTGTGTTTTTGGCGGTGGTTATCTACCAGCCTCCTTGTTCACGGTGGAATGTCTAAGCAGTTACGGCATTTTTTCTCATGGAACCTGGATGCCCCCTAGGTTGAAAGTTTCCACAGCTCTGCGCTATCGGCAGTGCAGTTGTTAAAAAGCCCAAGCTCTGGAGACAAACTGTATGGGTTCAGACCCCTCCCAGTGCTACCACTCAAAGGTGGTGTTCTCTTTACTGGGGTCACTTACCAGATGGGCAAAATACTGGGCACAGGTGAGAGACATCGTGACTGGGGTAGAGGAGGAAGATAATGAATATTCCATGCATCATCTTGGAATGCACCGGACTTAATAGAGGGCCTGAGCAGATCTGACAGTTCAAGAAGTAGACTCCGGCCCTAACCAGTTTGGCTCAGTGGATAGAGCATCGGCCTGAGGACTCAAGGGTCCCAGGTTCGATTCCAGTCAAGGGCATGTACCTTGGTTGTGAACACAACCCCAGTGGGGAGTGTGCAGGAGGCAGCTGATCAATGTTTCTTAACTCTCTTTCCCTCTCCCTTCCTCTCTGTAAAAAATCAATAAAATATATTTTAAAAAAAAAAAAAGAAGAAGAAGAAGTAGACTCCGGTGCATCCCTGCACATCCTCCGGCCACGCCTCTCTCAGGCTCCTGCTGCCACACCCGTTCCACGCAGGCTTTGTCAACGTTGTGTAGGTGCCACCTGGTGCATCTTGCCCCACCTTGTCTCCTGCTTCTTGCTCTGGGGCTCCTCTGATGCCTCAGCGTGGGACACTTGTGGGAACCTACTCAGCGCTAACACAGGTGCATCCTAGAAGTGGGCGGAACGGATGCCTCTGGGGCCACCATTGACCCACGGGGACAGGAGCTCATGAATTAAAGGCTGATGTACTTTGTCTCCCCCCTTGTTTCCCTAAAAACAAAAGAGGGGGGAAGGATGCCGACCAGGTATACGCAACAGCTGTCAACTTTGTCTACTAAATCAGAATCGAGAGAATTCCAGGGATCTATATTGGTAACCAGTCCTGCAGGTTATTTCTATGCACACTACAAAGTTAAAGAATTTTCATGGTAAGAGGAGCAGGGATGACAATTCTGACTAACTTGAACATCCCCTTGTATGACACAGAAAACAGTGTATGCCTTGCACCTTCTCTCCATCTTCGTGGATGCCCTTCCTCTTCTGATCGGCTCTCTGGTCCTCAGGTTCACCCTGCGTGTGTCCATGAACTTCCTTCGTGGTCTCTAAGTGAGACAACGTCTCTCTTAAGATGCCATCCCTTCCCACAAGAGGAGCTTTCACATCTGGGTTCCTTCCTGCATCCTGTCCTGGGCTTCAGCGGGAAGCAGATTCACGTTCGCTTCCTGCCCGTCCTGCAAGCTCTGGGTGATGAATGGCCTCAAGATCGAGGGGGAGGGACCCATCAGTTTTAACTCAGCTTGAAGAGTGAAAGCTGCGGGACCGGCTGGTTCCCTTACTAGGTTTCTTTTTGAGTAAGCACCTCTTTCAAAAACCACAAAGAAGTTTCTGGAAGTAATGAAGTATAATGTGTGTCTGACAAGACATCCCCCCCCCCCCCATGTGTGCATGGCCCTAAATTCATCTTTTCAGAAATTTCTCTTCCTTCCTGCACTGCCTGGGTCTTGGGGGGCATCATAAATGCATACCTGCTTTCAGTGGCTGCTTGGTTTAGTACCAGGGACTAGTACTGGTTTTCATTAAATTCTCTTGATTTAGAGTCTCCCTCTGATCAGGTTGATGGTGGTGGGGTTGAGGGATTTGGTAATTCTTCCTGCTCGGTGGATCTGGACGGAGGGATGGGCTCTCCAGTGTCTACAGTGGGGACCATGTCTCATATATCTGGTCATGTCTTTCCCCTGCTTAAAACCCATCCAAGGTTGCCAGTTACCCCCGAATGAAGTCCAAACTTGTTAGCCTCATATTGAAACCTTTCATCCTCTAGCCCCTGCTTGACTCTTGTATTATTTAGGACTCTTCAATTGCAGATGATAGAAACCAAATACAAAGAAAATCAAGTGAAAAAGAGGAAGTATTGGCTCATGTGTCTGAAAAGTCCTGAGCTACACTGGTATTCAGGAGCACACATGGTATTTTCAGGAATGACATCCCCGCAGCCCCCCCCCCTCCCCCCATACCCTGTCTCCAGGCTCTGTCTTCTGCTTGGTTTCATTTTCAGGCTCAATCCACAATATGGTGACAAAGACGAACACCACAGCGACTTCAGGTTTGTTCTTTGGTAGTTTAGCCAACTCAAAGTGACTGCAACTTGTCCAGTGAATTCCACTGACGTTCAGAGGATGTCTGTTGTCAGTGAGGCTGTCATGTACCCATCCTTGCAACATCATTGTGACTCTGATTGTCTACTCCTGATGCTTGGGAGGTGGGGTCACCCCATTTGAACTACTTTTTTGAGAGTGATGTATGGGAGTTTCCAAAGGATATCTGGGATGAGATTATTATAGCAGAAGGATGTGGCACCACCATCACCTACCAAATAGCTCTGTCCCTCTTCTTCCTTGCTAGCAGATCACATTTTGTGGAGCAGCAATGTGCTAAGGGAAGGAGAGCCCCTTGCTCAGCCTCCGGGAGTGAATCCTAGTTGATCTAACTCAAGCACCAGAACCCCACTCCTTTTGTAAGGTCTGGTTTATGGGTCTGCATGTGACCTGGCTCCAGCCAATGAGAACCTAAGGGGCTGTCTGCTGGAGGGCTCCTGGGAATGGCGTTCCTCTCTGAGAAAACCAGGGAGTTCATCAAGGAGAAGCCTCTTTCCGCCTCTCTCCTTTCCTGGATATTGTCACGTGAAGGCGAGAAGCTTAGAGCCTGGCGGCTGGCTATCCTGAATTCATGAGAGGAAAACATCCTCGAACACATCCCTTGGTGGACAGATGGATTTGTTTTTGTTGAGCATCGACCCATTCGTGGAATTGTCCGGCCATAGTGTGTAGGTATATTTAGTTTCACTGGGGCTTTCTAAACATTTTCCCAAAGTGATTGTACTAACTTACATCCTCACCAGCAATGTGAGAGGGTTCTGGCTGCCTACATCCTCACCAGCACTTCGGATTGTCCGTCGTTTTCATTTGAGCCATCCTGGTGGTGTGCAGCGGTATCCCCCTGTGCTTTGATGTCCATGTCTCTGATGACTAATGAGGCTGAACACATTTAAAAACTATTTCTTGGTCATTGGAATATCCCTTCTTTATGAACTTGTTTAGGTCTTTTGCCCATTGTTAGTGGGCTGCCTTCTCAATGAGCACTCACAGGGAGCAAATATCTCCACAAGCTGTGCCCCTGCAGAGGCCCGTCACCTATTTCCATCACCTCCTTTCCAACACGCTCCCAATCATGTCTATCCCAAGTCCTGACCGCCAGGCCACTCTTAACTCTTCATGAACCACTGTAATCTGTACCTCGGGCTATCTCTCTTTCCAGAAAAAAGCCCGGCCAGCATGACTCAGTGGTTTAGCGCTGACCTATGAACCAAGAGGTCACGGTTTGAGTCCCAGTCAGGGCACATGCCTGCCTTGCCGGCTTGATTCCCAGTGGGGGATGTGCAGAAGGCAGCCTATCAACGATTCTCTCTCATCGTTGATGTTTCTATCTCTTTCCTTCTCCTTCCCTCTCTGAGATCAATAAAAATATATATTAAAAAAAAACATTTAAAAAATGTAGTCTTCTCCTGGGGAGGAATATCCCTGATCAATTTTAACTTAAGATCTCTGGGTGGTATACAGTTCCAAGAATCTGGAAGAGCGCTTTTCAATCGGGAGATGTGGGCCCAGAGTTCAAGTTCCTGAAGGTTGGCTTCCATCTGGATAGGGAAGAGAACCTGGTAACGGTCCCTTCAATCGGGGCTCAAAGTTAGTCTTTCTTAGGTGTCACTTCCAGAAGACTCACTCTCCAGGTTTTTAGTTGTAGAAGGTTCGATCACTGTAGGAGGGTCCCGGAAAGCTTCCTTTACCTGGTGAAATACACTTTGACATAATGCATTCAAGCTTTACAGCATTGAGTCACATCAGAGTGGAAAGGCAATTAAGTAAAGGGATTGGCAGGTTCGGAATATTTAGGGGGAGGGGGAATAGGAAAGGAGCAGTCAGAGCAGTCAAGTTAGTCAGTGTATGCATTTTAGATTCCCCATCAGCTTGTTGCTTAAGCTTTTCATTTGTCTTTTGTAAAGAATCTTTTAAAGATGCAAATTTTTATTCATTAGTTTCTCAGGAGCTTCCGCATACCCATAAAAATGCACCCCATGGTTTCAGGAAAAATTCAGGACTTATTTTTCTCTAGAGCACCTCATTAATGGATAGTTTATCCGGGTTAAAAGTTCCTTACTGTGGCCACTGTCATTTAAAATTATTTTTGGTCCCGGCCGGCGTGGCTCAGTGGTTGAGCATTGACCTATGAGCCAGGAGGTCACGGTTCCATTCCCGGTGAGGGCACATGCCAGGGTTGTGGGCTCAATCCCCAGTGTGAGGCATGCAGGAGGCAGCCAATCAGTGATTCTCTCTCATCATTGATGTTTCTGTCTCTCTCTCCCTCTCCCTTCCTCTCTGAAATAAAAATTAAAAAAAAATTATTTTTGTTAAGGTTAACTCACTGGTTCAGAAAAATACAGGTTGTGGGTTCCTCATTTTTATGTACATAGTCATCTGGGGTCCCTGATGGAGGAGTCCCAGACTGTTTGGGTGAGAGAAGCCCATTTCTCTTTTTCCCAACAGTCCAGTTTCTTGTAAGTTGCTGACCAAAGGCCCAGTCCAGAGAAACAAGTGCTCAGATAAGTTTGGAGCTCTTCTATTTATTTTTTGTTAATCCTCACCCAAGGATATTTTTTTTCCATTGATTTTTAGTGAGAGTAGAAGAGAGGGGGAGAGACAGAGAAACATCGAGAGATTGAACCTGCAACCAACATACATGCCCTTGACTAGGATCAAATCCAGGACCCTTTCAGTCCACAGGCCAACACTATCCACTGAGCCAAACTGGCTAGGCCTGGAGAGCTCTTTTAAATGCAAAAACTGCAGAGCTTAGGTTTAAGAGGGACTTACCTGTGATCTTCAGATGCAGGGAGAAAGCAGTGAGCTCAAGCGACTCAGCAACTTGGCTAATTGCATGCTGCTCCTGGGGGCTTTTTTTTGGGGAGCAAAAGGCTTGCGAGGAGCTGCAACTGTGCGATATTTTATTTCTTAGAAAACGTTGTGTAGCAAATATGTCAAAATGTTGAGGTTTGTTAAAACTGAGAGGTCTGAGTACGTATGTGTACTCACGTAATAGGTTTCTTTCTGTAATATTTTAACTGTGTCTCTAAGTGTCAAGGATTTGGAGATTTGTAGGCTGGGGGTTAAGTCTTCGTTTCACCAACTAGTAGCTGCATTTTTGGACAAATGACTTCTGTTCCCATCTGAGACTGTGCCTGTTGGGATGTCACACCCTATTCACCGGCTCTGAACACTCGATTAAATTAACACCGGGAAACAGCTCGCCAGTTTTCTCTTTTCTAAAAGCCAATATTGCCCTGGCTGGTGTGGCTCAGTTGGTTGAGCGTCATCCTGTGCAGCAAGAGGTTGCCAGTTGGATTCCCCGGTCAGGGCACATGCCTGGGTTGCAAGCTCGATCCCCGGTGCAGGGTGTGCGGGAGGCAGCCAATAGATGTTTCTCTCTCTCTTTCTCTCTCTCTAAAATCAATAAAAACACAATTTAAAAAACAAATATGATAGTGGCTGCTTTACTATCAAATTTAAGTGACCGGGGCCGAAATTCCTCTATGCCTTTTCCCCTCAACACACACACACACAAAGTTTGGAGTGCTGGCTTATGCCTGGAGATCATCTAGGTTTGGAATTCCTTTGGAATTTTACACGGGATGACTTAATTTGCAATCTGCATACACAGTCCCTTTGACATTCACGGGCTCTATGGCTAATTGACTTTTGTTCTTCGAAAGAGTTTAGGTCTGCCCCTGGAGAACGCCGAAAGGCGACTTTCAGAACCAGTTCTATAGTTCTGGGACACACTGAGAAGTGGAATCCGGAATCTGCGGCATCTGTAAGTGTAGTTGTTACATACACTGCCCTGAGAAATGCCCTTAGGGACACTGTTCACAGCTCCTCCAGTCCAGACCTGAGCGCGGCCCTTCCTTTCACAGGCCTGCCCAAGGAGCCTGGACGCACTGGGGGCCGGCTCTGACGCCGCCCGGGGAGACTCTGGCCCTTGCAGGGCGGGGACCCTAAGGAGCCCCGCTGTTGGAGACGCCAGACAGTGGACTAAGAATCTGAGTCGGAGAATGGAGGGGAAGAGGCAGGTGCACAAAGAAGAATTCCGGGTTTGATACATGCTCCAAAGTTTCCAGCGTGTGACCCCATTCTGTCTCCACACCCCAAGTGCATTTTTCTTTTTACATCCCTGTCCCTCCGTTACAGATAATCTGAGTTAGCCTGGTCTTTCTCTGGTCATCATATTCCATCAGGCACCATCTCCTGTGGACTCCACCCTCTTCATATGGCTAGTCTAGGACCTGCGAGCCCTAGGCTACCTAATGTGTTAGGAATTAGTCAAAAGGGTCCGCTCTGGGCTAGTGAATTACGAAATGATGCTCCCCCGGGCAGAAGCAGCTTTCAGGCGCACGTTTGACTAACCAATAGCTCATTGGTGAGGTGTCCTTTCCTCCGGGCAGATGCCAGAGTGCGGGGCTCAGCCCAGGGCACAGGTGGCCCTGCAACGCCCCTGGCCCTCTAGCGCCCCTGGTGGGCAGTGGAGGTTGCGCCACGCGTGCTGTGCGCTGCTCAAATCTTTGGCTTCCTCTCCGCTGGCCCCGCTGCTGCTGCCTTAAAGTGGTTCCTGATGGTGCGGACAGTCTTCTCTCCCTCCCCCCGGCGCCCTGTGTCTCAGGGCGGCCGCCTGAATTCCCTGAACGCCGACTCCGGGCACTCCCCATGCCTCGGCACAAACACACTCTCAGCGCTGCACCCCAGGCTCTCGCCCTGCTCATTTCTATTTCCTCTCTGCCTCTCCCACCGGAAACCTTCCTTTACCCAGATCCCTGGCCTCGGCCCGAAAAGCCCTCGCTCTTTCTCCTCCTGGCAACACCGCCTGGTCTTCCAAGACTTGGCTCAAGCGATACCTTCCCAGGTTGGGCGGCCTCTCCCTTAGCTCTTATCACCCTGTATTGCAATCAAGGCCAGATAACCTCTGGGACCCGGCACAGTGCCTGGAGCCCACCATACTTCTAGGGGCTCATGAAAACATCTTAATTTATTTTGAAATCAGAAGACAAAAATGAACTTTAAGGGTCAAAGAAGATGTGTTATTTTTCTCGCATCAGCAAAAAATAAAGCGATTTGTAGGG